AATCAATCTTCTCTATGCCCAGGAGGGAGTCTCTCATTTAATATCAGCCATGGCTTGAGGTTCTGCCCAGGAGGGAGTTTCTCATCCGGTCTCAGATTGAGGTGCTGGGTTTTACCCTACCACTTTTGGACTCTCGCTTGCTGATGTGTTCCTGCAAGTATCTCTGTAAATCTTAGAAAACGATTTCTTGATTTACGGCATTGGTGTGCTGGCTGATATTCGAACAGGGGATGGGCCGGAGATGTCACTGCCTTGGCCCTTTCATTATTGGCTGCTACTTCCCGGCAGATATCAGCTGGTACGATACCGGCTAAAGTATAATTTTTCCAGTGGTGTAGGGTGTAGACATCCTGTGATATTGCAGTATGTTTCATTAAGAGCCACATCCACTGTTTTAACTTGGTGAGATGTTTTCCACACTAGGCATGCATATTCTGCAGCAGAGTAGCAAAGCACAAGGAGAGATATCTTCACTGTGTCTGGTTGTGATCCCCAGGCTATTGCTAGATATTGTTTCTAGCAACCACTTTTTGCTTGCTATTCAAGCAAAAAGTAAGTCGGAGCATGGTTCAAGGTAACTCCCAGGTATTTGGGTGTTCTGCAATGCTCCAATGGGATTTCTTCCCAGGTAATCCTCAGAGCTAGGGATGCTTGTCTGCTCGTAAGATGAAAGCACATGTCTGCATTTTAGATGGAATCGGCTGGTTTCCCCCCATAATAACACGAGAGAAGCCTCACCACAGGATTGTAACAAATCCAAGCGTCCCCTGGGCAACGTCTTTGTAGACAGCTGATTCAGTGCTGAATGCGGGACTTCTATGAGGACAGATGTCAACTGAGCTAACTTGCCCAGTGCAGGCACATATTGACCTGACACCCTCCTCCAGCCCTGTCACCTATTCAATCTCTCTCACTACAACATCCACCCAAGTTTTCCCCATTGTTCTTCTGTCTTGGGATGGTAGAAAATCCGGATTATGGTGGTATTGCCAACATCAATGTTTATTAGAACCACTCAAAGAACAATAGAAGGCTAGCTTGAAGGCCTTTTTAGGACTCGCCAGCTCCTTGAACATTTCCTGAATTTCCATAATCCACCCAAGAATGCATTGTATTCGCTTGTCCCGCCTCTCTCTCTCCTGATTCGCTGAAGTGCCAAGGCGGCCGAAGCCCTGTGATTGGCCCAGGCATGCAGCAGAAGCCTTGTGATTGTCCCAGGCGCTCAAGGGGTGACCGAGCCAGATTCAAACCATGCAACTCTGTTTTTCTATAAAAATGGCTTTTATTTGTACTCATGCATGCTCGGCTTGGCGAAATATTGCTGCTCTGCATCCTTTCCAGCTGAATCACAATAAATCATTTTGGTGGCTCTTCCTTCAGCTTTGGTGAGATTTCTTTTGGGAATTTAGGAAAAACCTTTTAAATTGGGCTTCTTTTTGCTCACCATTGTAGCGAGCCCTCTTTGGTGGGTCCGCAGGGTCTCTCCTACAGGGCCAGACCCTTTTAAATTCCTCCATGATTTCAACCATATTTGGAGATTATTTCTGCATTTGTTCTTCCACAATTTGCAAAAGGCATTGAAACAGAGCTGGGAATTTCATCATCAGTTCAATGGCTTGTGTCCTTTTGTTTCCCCTGGGTGTCCAAAGCCATAGAGATCTAGTTCAGTCATAAAATGTTTTGCAATCCAGATCCTCTGGTATTTTCGTGCACACAGCAATGTGGACAGGAGAAACCGCAAGAGAGGACAGTGGTGCCCAACATCCCCCTCTGGGTCCAAACTATTCAAATTTCATGGAACCACAGAGCCATAATCCTCATTTCTCAGAGCAGTGGAGAGATTGTGCCTGCTTTTGAACAACTTTGGCTCTGGTTTGCTGTCTCCAGAGAGCATGGACTATTGTGTGATGGAAGGGCATTTTTCTCGTTGATTTGTTATGATGGTGGCACTTTTGTGTCTGGGGTCCATATATGTTGCAATGCTGCTGGTGTCTGATTCCAAAGTGCTGACATAACCTCTGCCTAGCTTGACCTTTCTCTTGACATCAGTCCTGCTGAGCGACACATGCCCTTTTCCTGATCCCTTCAACAGCCTTGCCCAGACGGACTTGCTCAGGACAGCCAAGAACAACCGAGACTGTCTGGCCAGCCGCAGTTACGCCTGGGAATGTGTGGCAAAGGAACCTTCCTCCGGGAGGCCTGGCGCTGTCCCAGCTCCACACGCCTGGCACAGGAAGGGCATGGGGAGGGGGCAGCAACCCAAGTGTTGAACATGGAGAGGGTAGTGAGCCTTCTTGGATCAGGCAGGGACATGATACAGGTGGATTCTGTGTTGTAAGCAAAAGTCGGCAGGATAGAACAGGCCCTTGTCTTTTTGTATGTGTTGAAGGATACACAATTTAACCTCTCTCTTTCTTGTAAGTCTGAGGACTGAAGACTGTGAGCGTCTACACTCCCAGGTTTTATGGTGTCAAATGACAGAGAAACAAGCCTCAAAAGCTTCCCCATTGCTGCTAATGGAACAAATCTCAGCGAAACCACACCTGGAATATTGTGTCCAATTCTGGGGACCACAATTGAAGAGAGATATTGACAAGCTGGAATATGTCCAGAGGAGGGCGACTAAAATGATCAAGGGTCTGGAGGACAAACCCTATGTGGAGCAGCTTAAAGAGCTGGGCATGTTTAGCCTGAAGAAGAGAAGGCTGAGAGGAGACATGATGAGGGCCATGTATAAGTGTGAGAGGAAGCCACAGGGAGGAGGGAGCAAGCTTGTTTTCTGCTGCCCTGGAGACTAAGAAACGGAGCAATGGCTTCAAACTACAAGAAAGGAGATTCCATCTGAACATTAGGAAGAACTTCCTCACTGTGACAGCTGTTCAGCAGTGGAACTCTCTGCCCCGGAGTGTGGTGGAGGCTCCTTCTTTGGAGGCTTTTAAACTAAGGCTGGATGGCCATCTGTCAGGGGTGCTTTGAATGCAATTTTCCTGCTTGGCAGAATGGGGTTGGACTGGATGGCCCATGAGGTCTCTTCCAACACTATGATTCTATTATTCTATTATATGAAACTCCAGAGATTCAGATTATGAAACGAAACGGGACTTCTTCTATTCTTTACGAAATGAAGTAAGGGCCATCTGAATCTCCAAAACGAATTACTATTCATATTTCAACCACTTCTCACACTTCGCTTACCTAGAAATGGAGTTTTCCGACATGATGTCTTTGGGGTTCTGATTGCTGTGAAGTTGGCTGTGAAACTGCAAGAGAGAGAGAAAAATTGATTCCATCGCATTGAGCCATGGCAGTTGAAGTGGTTTAATACTGTGCCAATTCTACAGTGTGGATGCACTTTAGGCAGCTACGGCGGAACCATGTGGTTTTGCGCATGCATTGTAATGTATTTTTTGTTTCTTGGCTTTTTAAGTCCCTTCCGCTGTGTCTTTCAGTGTTTTTATGAGTGATGGTCACTTGTTGGCCTGAGAGGTGTCTTGTGTCCAAATTTGGTGTCAATTCGCCCAGTGGTTTTTGAGTTATGTTAGTCGCGCAAATGAACATTACATTTTTATTTATATAGAAGATTATTAAATATTTGTAATATTTATATTTTAAGAATATTATTATTAAGAATAATAATGTCTATCCAGAGAGATAAAGCAGGATAGACACAAATAATAATAATACATGGATATTATTATTATTATTATTATTATTATTATTATTATTATTATTAATAATAATAATATTTATATGTTATTATTATTATTATTATTATTAATTTCTACCCTGCTTTATTTATTTATTTATTTATTTATTTCGAACTTTTTACCCTGCCCTTCTCAATCCCTGGGGGGACTCAGGGCGGCTTACAGTTGGCAATAATTTAGTGCCGCATCATAAAATACAGAATAACAAATATAACAATTAAACATGAACATTAATAAATAAAGATTAAAACCGTATACTTAACACTCTGAATAGCTACTGTCTGTATGGTGGCTTTTTAGCTAGCCATCTACTAATGATTACTCCGCTTAACTTATCCAAATCCTCTTACATGCCATAGTCAAACATTATCAATTGTCCTTTAACCTGATTGCCCGAAGGCCTGGTCCCGCAGCCATGTTTTAACCTTTTTTCTAAAGGTGAGGAGGGATGACGATGATCTAATTTCTCTGGGGAGCAAATTCCACAGGCGGGGGGCCACCACCGAGAAGGCCCTGTCCCTCGTCCCTGCCAAGCATGTTTGAGACAAAGGCAGGGCCGAGAGCAGGGCTTCCCCAGAAGATCTTGAGCTCCGAGGTGGGATGTAGAAGGAGATACATACATATCTCTCTACAAAGTGATGCAAAGTGGCTGACACTAAAAGCAATGAACCTTAAAATAGGGTTTAAAATATATATTGTTTTAAAACACTAAAACCATTAAACAAATTTATTAAAATACAATAAAGAGTCTGAAAGTAAATCATCTTGTTGTGGTGTAACTTTAAGTCCATTTCCAACTTAAGGTAATTATAAGGTGACTACATTGCATGATGGTGTCAAGATTTGTTCAGATGGTTTTACCATGGCCTTCCTTGGAGGCAAATAGAGTGTGACTTGCCCAAGGTTACCCAGTGGGTTTCCATGGCTGAATGGGGATTTGAACACTGGTCTAGTCAAAGACATGAACTACAACATCACACTGGATCTCTCCCTAAAGTTGGTGATTCACAAATGCCTCGAAGCGATGCATGCAAGCAAGTCAAGCCACATGCTATCTTCCTACTATTGTTTCAGTCTGTAGCCTTCCAAGAAAGACCAGAACATCTTTGCCAGATTGTGTCCCTGAACATGAATTATGTGAAATTCTGCATTATTTATGCAGCCTAGTTCAGAACAACCTATTCCCAAGTCAAACGGAAAATCTGCACAAGTTGTGTTGCTATCTAAAGAGGGTGGCAAATGAATGTGAAAGGATAATGACTGTGTCTCACAACAGCTCTTTCTCTCCCACAGTCCTGTGTCCCCTCATCTGCCAAAATGGAGGAGTCTGTCTCAAGAAGGACAAGTGCCTTTGCCCTCCCAACTGGACCGGCAAGTTCTGTCACATCCCGGCCCTTCCGCATTCCCATGGACAACCCCACATGCGCCGAGAGACTGATGCGCAGTCGGATGGGAGAGCGCAGTCCGTCACCAAGTCTGTGTACACCCTCCCCATTGCCAACCACCATGAAGAGCGTGATGGTAAGATGTAGGGTTGGGAGAGGGACCCTGAATATGAGTAGGAAGGAGAGAGACGAAGAATGTGATGACAGAGCATGTTTCTCAAATTCTTAGGATCTCCAGCCTGTTGATTGACAAAAAGCATCCGCTTCCAGATCTCTGGAAAGCTAATTCCAGCCAATAGTCAATAATACTAGGCTGGATCAACCAGTTTTTCACTTGACACATGGCAATCTTTAATATCCCTATTGCCTGAGTGCTAAATGTTGGGACCCAACCCCACACTCACCAATGAGGAGCAGTTAGTTAACTTAGCATAGACCAGTAGTTCTCAATCTGTGGGTCCCTGGGTGTTTTGTCCTACAACTCCCAGAAATCCCAGCCAGTTTACCAGCTGGTTCTGGGACTTGAAGGCCAAAACATCTGGGGACCCACAGGTTGAGAACCACTGGTATACCTAAGGGTTTCCCTTACCCCATGTCTCCTATATAATAGTCGGAACATATCTAATTTCTTCTCTCCTCTGTTTCTGCTCTCATTCTGATTAGTTGTTTAAAATGGATGTTTTTCTACCTCAAGCCTTTTTGAATCTGACTTCTGCCTTCTTACACTTTAGTATGGAGGGTATGTGCTGTGTGCTTTGAGATCTCTCTCTGCTTGTGTGTCAGGAGACATGTAGTGATTGAGTTTTTCCCTCTTGAAACCTTAGAAGAAATGGGTGTTAGAGTAGCTCAGGCCCTGTTCTTGATTTTTAAGAAACACAGTTATTTCTTATTATTGTAAATAAACATTTTGTGATTTTTTAAAGATTGGACTCACGTTTGCCTCCTAAGTTCTGAATTCTTTACAGTCACATGACACGGCACTTCATGCTCTGCTCACTAATGTTCAACTTTTGTATCCTGTTTGTTTTTGGATGCTCTGCTGTTTATATTTTAGGGTTGTTTTTCCCCAACAATAAATATATGATGCAACAGCATAGAAGGCAAAGTCTAGTTTAAGTCTACTTTGGGAGGAATAAAGTGAGGTATAAATAAATAAATAAATAAATATTATTATTTGAAACACAACAAGATGAGTCCACAACAAACAAGGTCACTCTGCTGGCTATTGTATTGGATCACATGTCGGACACTTCCCAAGTGTCTAGGACTGTGTGATGTAATAATAATAATAATAATAATAATAATAATAATAATAATAATAATAATAACACTTTATTTGTACCCCGCTACCATCTCCCCAAGGGACTTGGTGCAGCTTACTGAGGCCAAGCCCCCAATACATCAATAAACAAACATCAATAAAATAAAACATCAATAAACAATCAATACAATATAAATCATAAATCACATAAACAAAATAGACAATAAGCAATGAACAGTAACATTTAAGCATTTAAAACCAATGGCCGGGCCAAATGTGATAGATTAAAATTAAAAAATAATGCTGATGTGAACAAGGTAGGATATAATTGGGATAGGATTTTCAGAGAGAATGAGGGAACGCAGTCAATCCTAAAGCAGTAGTAATAGTAAAGTGCATTTTGAGGACATAATGCTGAGAGTTTTCCTTATTCTGGGAAGGCACACTGGAACAACCACGTTTTCAAGCTCCTCCTAGAGACTGCCAGAGTTGGGCATGTCTGATGTCTCTGGGAAGTGAGTTCCAGAGTTGGGGGGCCACCACCGAGAAGGCCCTCTCCCTCGTCCCCACCAATCGCGCCTGCGAAAGAGGTGGGAGCGTGAGCAGGGCCACTCCAGATGATCGAAGAGATTGTGTGGGTTCGTATACAGAAATGTGGTCACACAGGTAGGCAAATAATGCGTGCAGATCTCAGTAGGGTGGCCTTTTACAGCTGGCAAATGGTAATGTTATTATTATTATTATTATTATTATTATTATTATTATTATTATTTACAGTATTTATCTTCCGCCCTTCTCACCCTGCAGGGGACTCAGCACGGATTACAATGCACATATACATGGCAAACATTCAATGCCAGTTAGACAAACAACATATATAGACAGATGCAGAGGCAATTTAACATTCCAGCTGTGCCAAGCTTTTCCGGCTTCATGAGGGTATGCTGGATTCCAGCTCGATTCTGGCCACAGGGGGAGATGCTGCTTCACCGTCCATTGTGACACCGTCTCCTTTGATAGAGTGCTTCCTCATTCTTCTGCACATTGCTGGAAGGTTTTATGGTGTCGTAAATTAGTTAAATTAGCCTCCCCGCATAAGCAGTGACTAAATTTCTTACTTGACAGATGCAACTGTCTTTCGGGCTGCATAGGTTGACAGCAAGGCAGACGAATGGCAAGAAGCTCACTCCTATCCAAGCTGGCTTTGAACTTTTGACCTCTCGGTCAGTAGTGATTTAATGCAGCTAGCACTCAGCTAACTGCACCACAGCCCAGTCCTTTTATTATTATTATTATTATTATTATTATTATTATTATTATTTATCAAGTTAAAGTCTAACAGCCCTGTTTTCTGAGACCAAGAAGAACCTTCTGCTGAAAGGAGATACTGATAGTTAGAGAAGGCATTGTTACAAAGAAAGCAAGTTGTCGAGGAAGTAAATAGTAGTTATTGGAAAATCTGAAGTATACAGCCAAGAGAAAAGGAGATAAATAGCAGACATGTCTGTTGCATGCAGATATTTAGGAAGAAGTGAAGAAGGGAACATCCCGATTTCCTCCCGCATGGTTACAGTACAATAAAACAAGCCATTGGGAGACAGCGGGGAGTGGAAAGACACATTGCTTAAGCATAAGAAGGTGCTTTGTGGATCAGCCATGCCCCCTCCGTGGCCTTTAGCTCAGCTGAACTGCTCAAGATATTTGGGACAGACCACAGGGTAGTCTTTGTTCCTTGCCTCTGTGCTTCCAGGCGGAGGGAGGGGGAGTCTGGCTGTCCAGAGCAAGAAACAGAACATGGGATCTGGGCCAAATCCACAAAAGCCATTTTAAAGCCGTGTTCTCAGGTTAACGTCCAGCTGTGGGAAGCGATCCACATTGGGCCAAGCCTATGCCAATTCCCTCCTTGAAGCTCCCGTGGTTGCTCTTTCCCTTTGGGCACGATCCATGCAGGTTCCTTAGGGAGAAGCTTGGGCCAAGTTGACTGATCCATCTCCTTGCTTGGTCAGAGCAGCAGCAACACTGCAGAAGAAGGTGGTGGAGCTTGAGGGTTTCAGGGTTTAACCCTTGCCGAGGGTTTGGATCTGAGCGGTGACGCAGTGGGTTAAAAACCGCTGAGCTGCTGAACTTGCTGACCAAAAGGTCAGTGTTCAGAATCCAGGAGTGGGGTGAGCTCCCACTGTTAGCCCCAACTTCTGCCAACCTAGTAGTTCGAAAACATGCAAATGTGAGTTAATCAATAGGTACCGCTCCGGTGGGAAGGTAACGGCACTCCATGCAGTCATGCCAGCCACATGACCTTGGAGGTGTCTATGGACAATGCTGGCTCTTCGGCTTAGAAATGGTGATGAGCTCCAACCCTCAGATTTGGAAATGACTGGACTTAATGTCAGGGGAAAACCTTTACCTTTAGGCACTCAATAGCACCTATTCCTCCCCAAAGGTGATCGTGTGTTATTAAAGGAAGAAATCCAAGGTTACTTTATGGGGAAATAATAATAATAATAATTCTTAATATTATTATTAGGAGCCCCCGGTGGCGCAGTGTTTTAAAGCACTGAGTTGCTGAGCTTGTTGACCAAAAGGTCACAGGTTCGATTCCGGGGAGCGGCGTGAGCCTCCGCTGTCAGCCCTAGCTTCTGCCAACCTAGCAGTTCGAAAACATGCAAATGTGAGTAGATCAATAGGTACCACTCCAGCGGGAAGGTAACGGCACTCCATGCAGTCATGCTGGCCACATGACCTTGGAGGTGTCTATGGACAATGCTGGCTCTTCGGCTTAGAAATAGAGATGAGCACCAACCTCCGGATTCGGAAACGACTGGACTTAATGTCAAGGGAAAACCTTTATCTTTAGGCACCTATTCCTCCCCAAAGGTGATCTTGAATTATCAAAGGAGATCCAAGGTTACTTTATGGGGAAATAATAATAATAATAATAATAATAATTAATATTATTATTATCATTATCATTATAATCTTTATTTATACCCTGCCACAATTTCCCCGATGGGGACTCAGGGTGGCTAATATGAGGCTGAGCCCAAAAATAATACAACAGAATAATATTCAAGAAAATAGAAAATTAAACACAACAAAATTCATAATGCAACAAAATGAAACAATCAATACAAAATAACATAATAGAATCAATCACAGAGGGTGGGCCAAATGTGTAGGATAAAATGTTGAAAACGTTAAAACCCTGGGTAAGGTAGGAAGTAGAGGAAGTGTATTTGTAGGGAGGAGCCCGAGATGGGGGAGCAGTGGGGTGGGGGAAAGTGCATCATGTAAACAAACTGTAGATGGAAACTAACAAAAAGGGTTGGGTGGTCACTCTCCGAAGGCACATCGAAAAAGCCAAGTCTTTAGCACTTTCTTAAAAGCTTCTAGGGTGGGGACCTGCCTAATCTCACCTGGTAATGAGTTCCAGAGTCGGGGGGGCGGGGCATGGCGGAGAAGGCTTTCTCCCTCGTACCCACAAGTCGTACCTGTGAAAGGGGAATAGAATCATAGAATCATAGACCTCATGGGCCATCCAGTCCAACCCCCTGCCAAGAAGCAGGAATATTGCATTCAAAGCACCCCTGACAGATGGCCATCCAGCCTCTGTTTAAAAGCTTCCAAAGAAGGAGCCTCTGCCACACTCCAGGGCAAGAGTTCCACTGCTGAACGGCTCTCACAGTCAGGAAGTTCTTCCTAATGTTCAGATGGAATCTCCTTTCTTGTAGTTTGAAGCCATTGTTCCGTGTCCTAGTCTCCAGGGCAGCAGAAAACAAGCTTGCTCCCTCCTCCCTATGACTTCCTCTCACATATTTATACATGGCTATCATGTCTCCTCTCAGCCTTCTCTTCTTCAGGCTAAACATGCCCAGCTCCTTAAGCCGCTCCTCATAGGGCTTGTTCTCCAGACCCTTGATCATTTTAGTCGCCTTCCTCTGGACACATTCCAGCTTGTCAATATCTCTCTTGAATTGTGGTGCCCAGAATTGGACACAATATTCCAGGTGTGGTCTAACAAAAGCAGAGGAGAGCCTCTCCAGAAGTTTGAAGAGATCGTGCAGGTTTGTGGTGGGAGATGCGGTCACAAAGGTAGGTGGGTCCCAAACCGTTCAGGGCTTTATAGGTGATGACCTGCACCTTGAATTGGGACTGAAAGTAGTAGTGGTAGTCTGAGGACCTGAAGGTGCTGAGGAATTGAGCTTGGAGCTTTGTCTATGATGATTTTTTTTGTGGTGAAGAGTGGGGTTTGAGGCTAGAATCTGTGGCCTTACTTTCTCTACACTTCGATAGCACTAATACTTCTGTAGATTTTTCCTGTGGAATAATGGGATTTGTAGTTTGGAAGGGTATTTAGAGTTCTCCTACAGGACACTTTTGGGTCTCACTGTGCTGAGTTCCGCGACAATGTGCTGTAACTCTGTAATGAAAAACAGAGCTGTGCAGTCAGAAGAAAATTACGTTCTCTCTTTCTCCATCTTCTTTCCCATCTCCAGGTGTGGCATCAATGGCGAATGTCCATGTAGAGCATCCTCTCGAGGCCTCGGTCGTCGTCCACCAGGTGGAGAGGGTCAGCGAGGGACGGCCAGGGGACACCAATGCCCTCCCGCTTTCCCGCCCGGCCCTCTACAGCATATTGGCCCAGAGCAGTCCTCGGGAGCCTGGCGAGGGATACAGCGAGAACTCTGGCTTTGGCTACTGCTTCAGGCAGCTCAGTGGCGGAGAGGTACCTGCAGGGCACGATCTTTGTGTGTGTTTACACCCCTTTTGTATGGAGCCATACCTCCAGCTTTCATCTATGATGAAACATTGGAGGATATGGAATTCCTCCAATGTCATGGCTTCACTCTAGGGTTGCCAGAATGGGAACTGGAGAGAGCTCTTGTACCTTTAATGTTTGTGCAGAAGAGAGAATTTCTGCAACTGACTGTATGATAAGGAGTAGCAATTCCCTCTTTGACTCAAACATTAAAGACACAGGAGTTGTTTACAGTCTTCAGACTGACAAAGCTGACTATGCTAGAATAGTCACACCTGTATTACACGCTGGTGGCGCAGCAGGTTCAACCACTGAGCTGCTGAACTTGCTGATTGAAAGGTCAGCAGTTCAAATCTGAGGAGCGGGGTGAGCTCCCATTGTTTGCCCCAGCTTCCGCCAACCCAGCAGTTCGAAAACATACAAATGTGAGTAGATCAATAGGTACCACTTCGGCAAGAAGGTAATAGTGCTCCATACCGGCTCTTCAACTTAGAAATGGAGATGAGCACCACCCCCCAGAGTCGGACACAACTAGACTTAATGTCAGGGGAAACCTTTACCTTTTCCTTATGCTAGAATAGTCACACCTGTACAACACAAAGGCCAAAATCTCATCTTCATTCCCAACACACACTCCTGAAGCACAGCCATGAGGTCAAGGGAAGAGCAATTGAGAGGCCTTCCCTCTGGTTTTGGGAGAAACCTGGCAGAAAATCGGCAGGGCTGTTCCTTTGCCAGCACTCTTAAAACGAGCATGAAGGAGTGGCGCCAGGCATTTATTGGGTCCTTTTAAGAGTCCAAGAGCAATGGATGCTGGGCTGGAAGGAGGCAACAAGCCTGGGAGGTCCATACTGGCCACTCCACCCAGGAATGGACAAATATCTGGAAACTGCCATGCTTGCAAGGACATCTAATAGCATTTTCCCCCTCTGCTGAACATCTCGGGACCTTTGCCTCCTTGGCTGCTCCCCATCCTGTTCAGTGAGAGATCTATAACTCATAACCAAGGGTTCTAGAAGAACTGAAGAAAGGACAGTTTCCTCTTCCCTCCTATCTCTTTGGATCATTTGGGTTTGGCTAGTGGATGGATGACCTTGATCATTTTAGTCGCCCTCCAGCTTCATGACTTTCCAGCTTCATGAGGGTATGCTCAAATTCCGGCCATTGGGGGAGCTGTCACTTCACCATCCGCTTGTGACACCGATGGAGTACTTCCTCATTCTTTTGCATGCTGCTGGAGATTTTTATGGCGCCGTAAATTAGTTAAATTAGCCTCCCAGCATAAAGCGGTACCTACATTTCCTACTTAATAAATGCAACTGTCTTTCGGGCTGCAAAGGTCGACAGCAAGCTAGACAAATGGTTGGAGGCTTACTCCAGCCTAGGCTGGCTTCGAACTTATGATCTTTTGGTCGGTAATGATTTTAATGCAGTAGACTCCCAATCAGCTGCACGACAACCCAGTTGTTTGTAAAGCTAATGATTCTTGGCTAATTAAACCTTAACCACACCAGAATACTCTGGATTGGAATTGGGACAACCAATAACACTACTTTGTGCCTGGAAAAATCTGTTTCCTCTCCAGGTACTCTGGATTTTACAGCTAACCTCAGGACTGAATTTAAAGATGTGTGTGTGGCAGATGTGGTCCTAACCCCGCTCATCCCCACACACCTTCAACCCCGCAAGCCCTGGATTGTAGCAAAGCAATTAATGATTGTAGTTCTCCCAAGTTTACCCTGTTGCCTTACTCTTGCCTCTCCCTCTCCTTTTCAGTGCAGCTCCCCATTGCCTGGCTTGCGCACCCGTGAGATCTGCTGCCGTGGGGCTGGCCTCGCTTGGGGCGTCCATGACTGTCTGCCTTGCAACAATGGTGGCCAAGGTAGGGCGCTTCTGCCATAGAGGGAACTTGGCACCTTTGTGGGAATTGTAGTAGGGTGGAAACATATGGGGGGAAAGCTCTAGTGCATTGGAACTGGGTGGCTTGGCACTCTTTCCTGAAACATTTCACATTATGCAGTGATAGCTTTCCTTTAACTTAATGTATTATCTCCTTTAACTGCTCTCATGCTATCATACGTAATCCTGAGGTTTGCACTTCGATGAGTCAGTAGAGATCTCCAGCTGAGAATTCCAAATCCAGGATCCCAAGGGTGTTGCCATAGCATTTAAAGTGGAATCATAGTTCTATAAGTATGTAGTGTGACAATGCCCTGGTTCATTCCTTGGAAGGGTTTTGCCCTTTTAAAATTATTATTATTATTATTATTATTATTATTATTATTATTATTATTTCCAAAGTGTACATGTTATATCATAACTATTGTGATGGCATGCCCGAGCCTTTGGGGAAACTATATTGTCTGGCTTTACTTGGAGGCTGATACTTTTAACACTGAGGCACTTTAGGCAAGGTGAAAAGAAAACTGAAGACAGGATGAATAAAGGGTTAACTCCACTATTATAAGGTAACTTAAAACAATACATTACAAAAAGTATTTTGCTTGTTGCAGTCATCTTTCTGGAATCTTCTGCCTCTGATGCAAAGGGATGGAATACAAATTGTTGCGTATAACTGTCTTAATCTTCTCTCCCGTGAAGCTTAGGCTGGCCAAAAGCTTCTGTTGTCCTTTGGATTGTTGATATAAAAATCCTGCTAAATGAAGATGCTAAGAATGCCTGTTTGGATTGTTTGGGCCTAGGATTCCAGACAATATCCAAACCTCTGTAGCTCTCTGCGGAAAGAGGATGATTCCAGCAAGGGCTCTATACAGGGAAATGGAATAGACCAACTAAGATTGACCTCTGGGGAGATTTTAAACTCCACCCAAAAATTAATGCAAAGGAAGTTATCTACACTATTCGGAAGGCCTATAAACAGGAGGAACTAAAGCAGAGGAGAAGAAATGGCAGAGCTAAGACTATTGATATATAAAGCCGCCAATAACAGTAGTAATTTTACACTTTCTAATAGTAGTAAAACATATGTACTTATCTGAAAGAAAACTTCCTAACTCTACACTGAGATAATAATAATAATAATAATAATAATAATAATAATAATAATAATGAACTTTATTTATATTCCACTTTAAGTTCAGGAGAGACTCGGAGCGGATTACAATAAACAATATACACATATAAGGCAAACATTCAAGGTAAGATAGAGTCTTATAATATATTGCCTTAGCAAAGCCCTTAACAAGCAATGTGTGTCTGTGTGTACAATTTACATAGGAGCCCCCGGTGGTGCAGTGGGTTAAACCGCTGGGCTGCTCAGCTTGTTGACCGAAAGGTTGCAGGTTCGAATCCGGGGAGCGGTGTGAGCTCCTGCTATCAGCCTCAGCTTCTACCAACCTAGCAGTTCGAAAACATGCAAGTGTGAGTAGATCAATAGGTACCGTTCTGGTGGGAAGGTAACGGCACTCCATGCTGGCCACATGACCTTGGAGGTGACTACGGACAACGCCGGCTCTTCGGATTAGAAATGGAGATGAGCACCAACCCCCAGCATCGGACACAACTGGACTTAATGTCAGGGGAGCCACCAGTAGCGCAGTGGGTTAAACCCCTGTGCCGGCAGGACTGAAGACGGACAGGTCGCAGGTTCGAATCCGAGGAGAGCACGGATGAGCTCCCACTATCAGCTCCAGCTCCTCATGCGGGAACATGAGAGAAGCCTCCCACAAGGGTGATAAAACATCAAAACATCCGGGTGTCCCCTGGGCAATGTCCTTGCAGACGGCCAATTCTCTCACACCAGATGTGACTTGCAGTTTCTCAAGTTGCTCCTGACATGACAAAAAAAATGTCAGGGGAAAGCCTTTACCTTTACCTACAATTTACCTAAGGTATTCAAAGGTGACCTAATTGTACAAGGCTTCCAATTACTTTGAAAACATTGTATTGTTTTATTTCTAAGGAGACGAGTTAATTCATCAAATTTTGCAAAGTTTAGCCCTTTGTCCCAAATTTGTCTCCCTGTTTCTCCCCTCCCAGACAGCTTTTGCACTCTCTTACAGCCACCTATATCATGGGGCAACCTGAATTCATGCCAGGAAAAGGCAGGTGCAGAAATCACTGGCACTGCTTTTAGCTCAGTCTTAGATTCCAGAGCATGGCTCAGTGGAGAAGCATTTGCTTGCAGGAGGGTACAGGGCGAGACATGTGGACCCATTGCAGCAAAGGCTTTTCTTGACCCCTTTCTATCTTGAAGCCCCTGGTGGAACAGTGGGTTAAAGCGCTGAGCTGCTGAACTTGCTGACCGAAAGGTCGTAGATTCGAATCCGAGGAGCAGGGGTGAGCTCCCGCTGTTAGCCCCAGCTTCTGCCAGCCTAGCAGTTTGAAAACATGCAAATGTGAGTAGATCAATAGGTACCGCTCCAGCGGGAAGGTAACGGCGCTCCATGTAGTCATGCCGGCCACACAACCTTGGAGGTGTCTATGGACAACGCCGGCTCTTCGGCTTAGAAATGGAGATGAGCACCAACCCCCAGAGTCAGACATGACTAGACTTAATGTCATGTGAAAACTTTGCCTTATGTTCTATCTTGTGTTCTGTCCTTTCCCTCCACAACAGGAGCCTCTAGTCCAGTGGGGAGGAACGAAGTGGCCTGCCCCAAAGGCTTCCGGCGGCTGAATGGTTCCTGCATTGGTGAGTAGGGAAGGGATGGGGTGGACACAAGCCTTCTCCCACATGTTCCCTGGGATTTTGGTGCACCATTAGGTGCATGGTATAACTATAACTGGTTGTTGTTTATGTGATGCAGATTGACATACTGTCCAACTGTCCTGATTTGGGAAGAACAGTTCAGATTAGCCCTCTGTGCGCTCTTCCAGACGTGCAATATATCCAGGATCTGATCCCAGGTTTTCTGCTTTAAACTGGATTATATGAGTCCACACTGCTAGATAATCTGGGATAAACTGCCCCCCGTGGCGCAGTGGGTTAAACCACTGAGCTGCTGAACTTGCTGACCAAAAGGTCGCAGGTTCGAATCCGGGGAGCGGCATGAGCTCCCGCTGTTAGCCCCAGCTTCTGCCAACCTAGCAGTTCGAAAACATGCAAAATGTGAGTAGATGAATAGATACCACTCTGGCAGGAAGATAACGGCACTCCATGCAGTCATGCCGGCCACATGACTTTGGTGGTGTCTATGGACAACGCCGCTTCTTCAGCTTGGAAATAGAGATGACCACCAACCCCCAGAGTCAGAAACAACTGGATTTAATGTCAGGGGAAAATCTTTACCTTTACTAAATGTCCCAGAAGTTAGATGCAAATTGTGACCTTGCCTTCACACATGATATACATGAAATGATACAGAATTCAAGTGACTGGTGGTAGCCTTTAAAGTGGTTTGTTAACATCAGAAGTCTGTTCCGTTGCAATCAAAACTTCCTCTCAGAGGATTCCTTTTGTTTATAGGTTCAGTTGTGATATTCTTGTGTATTAATATATGAAACGAGTTTCTCAGTTCAAACCTTCCATCTTTTGCGATACCCTCTCTTTCCTCTCCTTCCTTCACCCCATAGATGTAGATGAGTGCCAAGAGGGCAGCTTTTGCCAAAATGGAGACTGCACCAACACGCGTGGCAGCTTCACCTGTGTTTGCCATGAGGGCTACATCCTCGACTCATCTCGCAGCAGCTGCATCTGTAAGTTTGGCAGAATGAGAGAGGGAAGTAAGACTAGGGAAAGCTGGTAAACAACACTGTGACCCCATAGTTATATTACGTAACATGACTTTTGGTCCTGGGTTATCAATGTCATTTCCTAATTGGTTCTGTCATAATACATGGAAAATGTTTATTAAACTGGGGGCAAAATGTCAACATTGGGCACTGGATGGGCTCTGAGAAAAGGGAAAGCAGCTGCACAGACAGATAATCATCATCATCATCATCATCATCACCTTCATCATTGCCATCATCCTCACCTATATAAATAAAAATATAATGTTCGTTTGTGGGATTAACATAACTCAAAAACCACTGGATGAATTGACACCAAATTTGGACACAATACACCTATCAGGCCAATGAGTGACCATCACTCATAACCCCCCCCCAAAAAAAAACAGCGGAAAGGACTTTAAACGCCAAAAAAACTAAATAATGAAAAGCTAAATGACAATACATAAAAAAGGGAAGAGGGAGGGAGGGAAGGGAAGGAAGGGGGCAGCAAGAAAGAAGGAAAGAGTGAAGGAAGAATGGAAGCAAAGAGCAAAGGAAGGAAGGAAAGAGGAGAGAAGGAAGAAAGGAGAAAAAGAGGGCAGGAAAGAAAGAAGGAAAGAGAGAAGGAAGGATGGAAGCAAAGAGCAAAGGAAGGAAGGAAAGGTAGAGAAGGAAGAAAGGAGAGGAAGGAAAAGGAAAAGAAAAAGAGGGAAGGAAGGAAAGAGGTAAAGAAGGAAGGAAGGAGAGAAGGAAAGAAAATAAGGGAAGGAAGGAAAGAGGGAGCAAAGGAAGGAGGGAAAGAAAGAAAGAAAGACAGAAAGATGGAGGGAACGAAAGAAGGAAGGATGGAAGCAAAAAGCGAAGGAAGGCAGGAAAGAGATAGAGAAGGAAAAAGGAAAAAGAGGGAGGGGAGGAAAGAAGGAAAGAGAGAAAGAAGGATGGAAGCAAAAAGAGACGGAAGAAAGGAAAGAGGGAGCGAAGGAAGGAGGGAAAGAGGGAGGGTAGGAAAGAAGGAAGGAAGTATGGAAGGAAAAAGCAAAGGAAGGAAGGAAAAAGGTAGAGAAAGAAAAAGGAAAAAAGAGGGAGGGAAGGAAAGAAGGAAAGAGAGAAAGAAGGATGGAAGCAAAAATGAAAAGGAAGGAAAGAGGTAGAGAAAAAAGAAAGAAGAAAAGAATAAGGGGGAAGGAAAGAAAGAGGTAGAGAAGGAAGGAAGGAGAGAGGGAAAGAAGAAAAGGGAAGGAAGGAAAGAGGGAGCGAAGGAAGGAGGGAAAGAAGAAGAGAAAAAGGAGAGGAGGTTGGCCACAGCAATGAGTGGAGCTAGTATATAGCTAGTAATGCAATAAAGAGGAATAAGAGAACTCTGAATTCACTCAGGTCAGCCTGACCAGTGCTGCCCCCCACTGTCTGTTACATGGAAAGTATTTCAACTGGGAGCAGTTTCACACAGGCAAGGTTTTTATTACACAACTACTTGCCTGATTCTTGGAAATATTCACTGAGTCTGGATCATGTCATATTTTATTTGTAATGGTCCCATGTGGGTGTTTTTTTTCCACTGTTGCTTTTTATTTTATTTCTTCTCACAAATCTGTTAGGGGAAAGAAGTGCCTCACCGTACCTTTTGACCCATGGGGCTTAACGCTGTCCGTCAAGAGATCACCTCTGAAACACAATCTCCTCCAACTTTTATTATCTGGCCAATCTAAAGAAGAAACAAGCCAGATGGACGTAAACAAATCTGGTTCCAAAATAACAGCAAATCTGACACGAATCTCAGTTTCACATAGAACAAAACGATCCCTTTGCAAGGAAGGTGATGTCATTCTCAAAGCCAAGATTTTTGTATCTGCGCTCAAAGAAATAGGGATTATATGGGCTGCTGTGAGTTTTCTGGGCTGTACGGCCATGTTCCAGAAGCATTCTGTCCTGACTTTTTACCCACATCTATGGCAAGCATTCTCTGAGGTTGTGAGATCTGTTGTAAACTAGGCAAATGAGGTTTATATATCTGTGGAATAATGTCCAGGATTGGAGAAAGAACTCTTGTCTGTTTGAGGCAAGGTATTGCAATTGGCCACCCTGATTAGTATTGAATGGCCTTGCAGCTTCAAAGCCTGGCTGCTTTCTTCCCAGGGGAATCCTTTGTCCAGGGTGGGAGAAAGAACTCTTGCCTGCTTGAGGCAATATGAATATTGCAATTGGCCGCCTTGCTTAGCATTGAATGGTCTTTGTTGGGAGGTGTTAGCTGGCTCTGGTTATTTCATGTCAGGAATTCCCCTGTTTTATGAGTGTTGTTCTTTATTTACTGTCCTGATTTTAAAGTTTTTTAAAAATACTGATAGCCAGATTTTGTTCATTTCCATGATTTCTTCCTTTCTATTTGAATTGTCCACATGCTTGTGGATTTCAGTGGCTTCTCTGTGTTGTCTGACATAGTGGTTCTTAGAGTGGTCTAGCATTTCTGTGTTCTCCAATAATATACTGTGTCCAGATTGGTTTATCAGATGCTCTGCTATGGCTGACTTCTCTGGTTGAATTAGTCTGTAGTGCCTTTCATGTTCCTTGATTTGAGGCTGGGCAATACTACTGCATTTGGTGGTCCCTATGTAGACAACAAACCCCTCAACCTCTGAGGATGCGTGCCATAGATGTGGGTGAAACATGAGGAGAGAATGCTTCTGGAACATGGCCATACAGTGTGGAAAACTCAAAGCAATCCAGTCATTCCAGCCATGGAAACGTTCGACAACACAGAGATTATATGGATAATCACAGACAACCTGCAGTCTGCTTCTGGGCTTGCAAAGCCTTAGAATCATAGAGTTGGAAGAGACCTCATGGGCCATCCAGTCCAACCCCCTGCCAAGAAGCAGGAATATTGCTTTCAAAGCACCCCTGACACCCCTGAGAGGAAGTCATAGGGAGGAAAGAACAAGCTTGTTTTCTGCTCCCTGGAGACTAGGACACAGAACAATGGCTTCAAACTACAAGAAAGGAGATTCCATCTGAACATGAGGAAGAACTTCCCGACTGTGAGAGCCGTTCAGCAGTGGAACTCTCTGCCCTGGAGTGTGGTGAAGGCTCCTTCTTTGGAGGTTTTTAAACAGAGGCTAGATGGCCATCTGTCAGGGGTACTTTGAATGAAATATTCCTGCTTCTTGGCAGGGGGTTGGACTGGGGGACCTATGAGGTCTCTTCCAACTCTATGATACTATGATTCTAAGGCTTTGCAAGCCCAGCAGGCAGACAACATATGAGCTATTGGGCCCCTAGGAGAAAAACCCTGCCAACCAATGGTTCCCAACTTGTGGGTCCCCAGGTGTTTTGGCCTACAACTCCCAGAAATCTGGGAGTTGAAGGCCAAAACATCTGGGGACCCACAGATTGAGAACCACTGCTCCAAACCAGGCAATTGTGGTCACTAATACCCCCTTCATCTTGCTTACGGCATCCTTCTTTCCCTGCAGCCCATCACGTGATCTCTGAGGCCAAGGGTCCTTGCTTCCGGGTCCTACGAGATGGCGGGTGCTCCCTGCCCATCCTGCGTAACATCACCAAGCAGATCTGCTGCTGCAGCCGAGTGGGCAAGGCCTGGGGGCACGGCTGTGAACGCTGCCCGGCTTTTGGCTCAGGTGAAGGGGAGGCTAGCGGTGGTACTAGTGGGAGAGTCTTCCCGACAAGTTTCTCTGTTGTGCCCAAGCCTTGAAGGGTTGTTAGAAGGGGAATAGGACCTTTGTCTATCTTCTAAGAACAAAAGAAGGGTGTGCCTGAGCATGTAAAGAGTGCTTTCTCCCTCCTTCCCTGCACTACTCCCTTGTGCACTCATATTCGGATGCAGACACACATTTAAGAGGATAGGTTTGAAGAGCACTGTTAATAATATTGTGGTATAGTTGTATAGTACAATATAGTAATGTAATAATTGTAATGTATTATATGTCCTGTGGCGCAGCTAGCTGGGTGTCAGCTGCATTAGGATCACTACTGACCAAAAGGTCATGAGTTCGAAGTCAGCCCGGGTCGGAGTGAGCTTCCGACCAAATTTGTGTAGCTTGTTGTCAACCTTTGCAGCCCGAAAGACAGTTGCATCTGTCAAGTAGGAAATTTAGGTACCACTTTGTGGGGAGGTTAACTTAACTAATTTACAAGGCCATAAAGATCAGCGAGCATGCAGGGAATGAGGAAGTACTTCATCAGTGTCGCAGATGGACGGTGAAGCGACAGCTTCCCTGGTGGCAAGAAAAAGTTGGAATGTTAAATAGCCTCTGACTGTCTGTCTATATGGTTGTGGGGACAAGCATTCAAACAATAGATACAGGAATCAAGATTGATACAGACCCTATGTTACTGACAATGGTTTGAACTGGACTATGATTTGAATTTGCGTGATTTTAAATAAACGTTTTAATAATTTAATATTTTAATTACTGTTTTAACTGGAATTGTTATTTATGAATCTGTATGATGGCATCAAATGGTTGCCTTTTGTAAGCCACCATGAGTCCCCCCTCAGAGGTGAGGACCAGATACAAATATGGGAAATAAATTTTAAAAAATTAAAAAATTAATATTGTGCTATGCCAATAATATAATTTATAGTATGTACATATAACTTGTGAGCCGCTCTGATTCCCCTTCAGGGTGAGAAGGGCGAGATAGAAATGTCATAAATAAATAAATTCTAGACAGGCTATCGATTGAGAGCTTCATTCTCCTCCTGCTTTTGGCAGATGGATTCAAGGAGATCTGCCCAGCTGGGCCTGGCTATCACTATTCAGCCTCTGACCTCCGTTACGACACTCGTTTCCTCGGCCAAGATCTCCCTCGAGTGCCAATCAGCCGCCAGCAACCAGGACGGGAACCTGCTATCAGACTGCCTCGGACGACAACAGCACCAGCCATCAGTAGGTTACCATCTTGCTCAGATCTCTGTGGAAGTTCAGAGGCAACCCAGCTCCCTGGGATGCCATTGTGGGATAGTGGTTTGATGAGTCCAGGGTCCGAATTTGCTTTCCCAGTCAACCATGGGAACCCACTCTCATAGTCTGGGGAAGGCAATGGCAAGCCCGCTCTGAATCATTGTGGTAGGATGTTCATACGTCAGAGTTGGCTTGAAAGCACATAACAAGGGGCTCTTGACTTATTGTGGGGAAACTGTCATATGTGCAGAACATGCAGTGGCAAATGGAGATGCTGGGTAACTTGTCTTCTGTAGCAGGGGAAGTACTAGTTTGCCCCATACAGCACCCCTCAGCAAAGAAGGATATTGTGTGTATCTGGGGGCATTTCTTCTCCTGCAGCAGTAACTGATGGGTATTAATGTTTCCTACCTGTTGCGCTCCAGAACAGGAATAACCCTTTAACTTTAAACACCACACATTGGATAGGAAAAAAACTTTTATTGAAGATAAGTAAAAAAGCAGCAAAGTAAAAAAGCACTTTAAAGAAATAGGTAAATCCAATTAGGTAAGAACATAAGCAGGAACAAATTAGTTCAAGGTAGAGTTCAGCAACGTCCATAAAAGCAAAGTCCACACATCTCCAATACAATCCAAAAAAAATCAGGAATACATTGAACCAAGGCTTGGGTAAGCAATCATGAAATATAGGAATCCAAAACCATGAATGAGAAATATCTTTGAAACTTCAAAGCAAGGTTTCCATAAAACAAGGATAAGAACTTGGCGTGATTCTAAACAATGCTTCATCTGACTACACATCCCAAACTTCAGACTTTTATCCCCTCATTAGCTAGGTCACTGGCGGTCAAACATTGGTTTCTCTTTAGTTGAAGCTTTGTTATTGTTTTCTGCCAAAGCCTGGTAGATCGCCTAAGCCTTTGCACAGCCCTCCTGTTTCGACTGAACTCTTCTCGTCTATCTCTTAGCTCGTTATCTATTTTCTCTCGTGGGTCGTTATCTATTTGCCCTCTTGGCTCGCCATCTATTTGCTCATTAATTTCTGCTGGTGCACCCCCACACCTCTCAGGGACATTCTCATGGGAAACTACAGGGATCTCCTGGCCATTCTCTGCATCAATATCGCTGACCAAACCATTGCCATCTTGAAACTCATCTTGAACCTCATTAACATCATTCCCCACATCCAAAGCACCTTGATCTTGAAACACAACCACAGGCTGAACTCCAACACTACCCACCTTAATGCCAGATATCTCCTTTCCTTCACAGTTCGCTGGACTCCCTTGCCTACTTCCCTGCAGGGCCGCCAGCCTCCCTGGCCTGTGCCCACTGTGCCAGCTGTACCCCCCGAGCCTTCTGTGCCAGGTAGGTGGAGTGAGGTCACTCCTGGTTATCATCTCCATCTGGGTTGGTTCCATTGGCAGGGCAAAAGGAAGAGCAGCGTGGTGGTTTGGGGCAAGATATAGGATCCCCAGAAGACAACCAAGTGGTGACATTCTTTCTTCCTCCAGTGGCCGGCCAAGGTGTGTGCGAGAGACGTCCCCAGGTGTGCGGTCCAGGGCGTTGTATCCCTCGCCAGGGTGGCTACACTTGTGTCTGTGAGCGTGGCTATTGGCTGAGCCCTCAAGGCACCCACTGCGTCGGTGAGTTGGGCAAGGAGGCAAGTGAAAGGGGAAGCTTTGAAGACGCTGCTCTAGGCACAATGCCTTTGAGGAGTTGTCATCATTCAAACTGTCTTGACATCCACAGCTATTGATTGAATTGGAAGGACACTCTGCACATACTCAGAGATGGGCTTAGTGGAGAATATTTTTGGGGAACAAGTACCAGTAGTTTGGAGAGCTAAAGAGAGCTGGCCAGTTTGAGAAACCAAATATTGAGGGGTGGGGAGTTTGGCAGGCTGGGTGCAGGTAAAACTTGTTGGCCATCCCAAGTTAGTATTTCATTCAACACAAGATGGGCATTGCCAGGAGTTACTTTGAGAAAGCTATCCTAAAATATACAGCAGAGCATCCAAAAAGAAACAGGATACTAAAAGTTGAGCATTAGCTCCAAGATGGGCATTGCCAGGAGTTTCTCCAGGAAAACTATCCTAAAATATACAGCAGAGCATCCAAAAAGAAACAGGGTACTAAAAGTTGAGCATCAGCTCCAAGATGGACATTGCCAGGAGTTTCTTTGAGAAAACTATTCTAAAATATACAGCAGAGCATCCAAAAAGAAATAGGATACTAAAAGTTGTGCATCAGCTCCAAGATGGGCATTGCCAGGAGTTTCTCCAGGAAAACTATCCTAAAATATACAGCAGAACATCCAAAAACAATCAGGATACTAATACTTGAGCATTCAGCTCACATCTAGCAAAATCTGAAGTGCCGTGTGATGTGGCTGTAAAGAATTGAGAGCTTAAGAGGCAAACATGCAGAGTCCAATCTTAAAAAGATCACAAAAGGTTTATTTACAATAACAAGAAATAACTGCATTTCTTAATAATCAGGAACTGGGTCTGAGCTACTCTAACACGCGTCGCTTCTAAGGTTTCAAGAGAGGGAAAAACTCAATTGCTACATCTCTCCTGACACACAAGCAGAGAGAAATCTCAAAGCACACAGCACATACTCAGATATAAAAGACTAAAGTCAGATTCAAAAGGCTTCTAGTAGAAAATTATTCATTTTAAAACAATCAGAATGAGAACAGAAACAGAGAGGAGAGAAGAAATTAATTACATTCCAACTGTCATACAGGAGACATGGAGGAAGGGAAACCCTTAGTCTATACTAACTATCTGCTCCTCATTGAGGACTTGAATCTTTGGCACTGTGGGGTTGAATTCCAACATCTACCCCTCAGCTTTTTCACTTTTTCCTCTCCTCCAGATGTGGATGAATGTCGACGCAGCCCTCGTCCCTGTGCTGGTGGCCGCTGTGAGAATTCAGTGGGCAGCTTCAGCTGCAGGTGCCGGGCCGGCTACCAGGCTGACCCATCTGGCTCAGAGTGCCATGGTATGTTCTGCATGGGCACAGAGACCCTCACCCCCTTGAAACCCCTATCTAAAAGTGTTTAGCTTGCCTCTTTGTCTGCTTTTGTCTCATGGTGGTTCGCTGCTTGCCTGTTTACTTTCCGTCATTCCCTTCCAGACATTGATGAGTGTGCCAAAACACCTCCACCCTGTGCCAATGGACGCTGTTACAACACACCTGGCTCTTTTAGCTGCTCCTGCCCCAGTGGCTACCAACTTGATCCAGTTGGCTTTGAATGCCGAGGTAAGGGGTACCAAGTTTTGAGAGACACAGAGGAATGGCATAGCCTGTCCTTCCCCTGCTTTGCAATTTTGGTTAGTGTTCTGTGGAGAGATAAATGGCAAAATATGTCAAATACAATTGAACCACCGTCCCTTGAAAAGAAAAACAAAATGGAAACTGGGTGAAGAGCTGCAAGGTGGCTTTGACTTGAAGAAAATTTAGGAATCAGTTTAGGGTTAAGATTATGTCTATTAGTATAGTTATTCTGTTATTACTTTACTGACACAAAACCACAGTATGTCACAGCAAACGAGATCTATATGCTGGATTTTGTATAACAAAATCACAAGTCAAACACTTCCCAAGCGTCTAGGATGACTATTATTATTATTATTATTATTATTGACACAAAAGCACAGTATGTCACAGCAAACGAGATCTATATGCTGGATTTCGTTTATTATTATTATTATTATTATTATTATTATTATTATTATCATCATCATTATTGGAGCCTCCAGTTGCACAGTGGGTTAAACCACTGAGCTGCTAAACTTGTTGACCGAAAGGTCGTAGGTTCAAATCCGGGGAACGGCATGAGCTTCTGCTGTCAGCCCCAGCTTCTGCCAACCTAGAGTTCAAAAACATGCAAATGTGAGTAGAGCAATAGGTACCGCTCCAACAGGAAGGTAACAGCGCTCCATGCAGTCATGCCAACCACATGACCTTGGAGGTGTCTATGGACAACACTGGCTCTTTGGCTTAGAAATGGAGATGAGTACCAACTCCCAGACATAACTAGACTTAATGTCAAGGGGAAAACCTTTACTTTTACCTATTATTATTATTATTATTATTATTATTATTATTATTATTATTACCTTTACCTATTATTATTATTATTATTATTATTATTACTACTACTACTACTACTACCTTTACCTATTATTATTATTACTACTACTACTACCTTTACCTTTACCTATTATTATTACTAGTAGTAGCACTACTACTACTACAATATGTGGATTGGGCATTGAGGAAATGATGAGCTGATTTTCACCCCATTATCACATTCTGGTCCTTACTAATGCATCTGTATATAGTAGAAGGGATGTCACATTACTTCTCTTCAACTATTTTCACTGATTTTTCAGCTGGGATTTTGCTTTGAGGGATTTTGATGGGACAAGTCACTTAAAGTGTTGTATTGGGATTGTTCTGGGGACATTTAGCAGTATTTTTGGCTGAGCATCACCAGAAAATAGGGTGGAGTTTTTAGAGGGACAGCTTGGGGGAGCTGTGGAAGGTGAATTAATAGGCCAGGTTTTCCCCATCTTTGCTTTAGCTCTTTTGCATTCCAATCCTATTCTCTTTTCCTCATTACAGATATTGATGAATGCACCCAGAGTCCCCCGCCATGTGCTCGTGGGCGCTGCCATAATTCACCAGGCTCTTACCGCTGTGCCTGCCCTACAGGCTACCAACCCGGCCCCACTGGAACAGAATGTTTGGGTGAGAGCGTTGCACCCTTTCCTCTGTCATGAAGGTTGGATGGATGTCTCTAGGGTGGGAGTCTTCTGGGTTATTCTGATACTGCTGCCCTTTCCTTCCCTGGGATGTAAGCCTATCCCCCAGCTTACAGACCACTGGCATGCCTCCCCCAACAAGGGGATTGGAAGTTTGGGGAAGAAGCTGCCATTTATGTTGTGTTTCTGCAGATGTGGATGAATGCCGGGAGAGCCCTCCCATTTGCCAGCCAGGCCGCTGCGAGAATGCACCAGGCGGGTACCGCTGCACTTGCCCGATTGGGTATCAGCCCAGTCCACAAGGGACACAGTGTGTTGGTAAGCATGTTTACAATGGTGTCAGGCATTGCAAGAGACAGCAGAAGCGATTGCCCCGTATTTCTGCTACCAAATGCCACTCCATTTCCTTGGCCCAGCCTGGAAGTGTGGCCTCAATGGCAAGGATTGTGGTCACATGTAGAACATGTTTTCTTCTCTACCCAATTCAGGGATAGCTCTTTCAGGGTTGGAGGGGTGGTGTTAGAATGCAGGTGCACCTTTATGATGTACCTCTCCATCTTTGACCACCTGTTGAATAACTCTCCGTCTTTGCCCTCTGCATGTCCGCAGATGTGGATGAATGCCAACAGACCCCTCCGCCGTGTGGCACTGGGCGCTGTGAGAATGTGCCTGGTGGCTATCGCTGCCTCTGCCCTACTGGATTCCGGGCCAGCCTTACTGAGAACCAGTGCTTGGGTGAGAAACTGGATGGAGGATTTACAGAGAGGGTTTTAGGGAGAATAATCCCAGAGCCCTTCTCTCTCTGATGGCCCCAACTCTCTTCTACAGACATTGACGAGTGTTCGACGGGAACACCCTGTGGCCCCCAGGGACGCTGCTTCAATACGGAGGGCTCTTTCCGCTGCCAGTGCAACCGGGGCTATCGGACAGAGGGGACAGGCACATCCTGTGTGGGTGAGTGCTGAAGCCAGAGGGAGATATGGCTACGTGAGGGTGGAGAGCACATTCCAATGGGTGGATTTGGCACCCTAGGTGTAAGGAATTGGCCTACCTTAAAGGGTTGGTGCAAAAGTCAGAAACCAGACCAGGCTTGCTAAAGCTAAGGAGAACTGAGGGGAGGAGCAAACAGGAAGCCTCATAACCAGGAATGCAGTCTGATTGGCTGATGAAATTGGAGGGGAAAGCTCAGCAACTGGAGATGGGCGGAGCCAGAAGGGAGAGAAGATGCTGAGGCAGCCATTTTTATATCAATTAGGAGTTTAGTGGGGAAGAAGACAATCAGGAGTTTGAAGGGGGAAGGAAGGAAGGAAGGGAGGGAGGGAGGGAGGGAGGGAGGGAGTGAGTGAGTTTGGGAACTGTTTGCAGTTTAACGATACCTCTTTGAGAATAATAGTTAATAGGCCTCTATAGTGTTTAGAGTGCTGTGAGAGGAAGGGAGATTTGAAAGGTTTAAAAGATTCTGTTTGGATTTCTGTGTGTGGAACTTTGTTTTAAGAAACTCAAGATAAAAGTACCATCCTCTGTAAGAAGTAAAGCCTGACAAGTTATTTGAAACCATTACGCATATTGGCTGTTCAAAATAAACAACATTTTCCTGTTTCGTTTTCACTGAAGTCTTCATGTGGCTTTTTGAACATTCCAGTAGAAGGAGGTGGCCTGTTAAAATAACAAATTGGTGGCAACAATAGAAACCTTTAATAAATTATAGGAGGTAGCAAAGGCAAAATATAAAATACAGTGTTAGATTCCCACTCTGGCTTTGTGTGGGTGAGGATGTGTGTGTTCTGATTCCCTCAAGACCTTGTCTTGGGCTAGACCATGTCATTTCTCCTTTGTCCTCCATCTTGTGTGTGGTGTGCCTGTTGCAGATTCTGCCTTCCGTCCCTCCCTCTTTGTTGGTGTTTATTGCACAGGGTAGAGCCAGATTGAGGTGGGTGAAAAGTGTGACCTTTGTAGATGGCTTGCTGTGAGTTTCCCAGGCTGTATGGCCATGTTCCAGAAGTATTATCTCCTGATGTTTCACCCACATCTATGACAGGCATCCTCAGAGGTTGAGAGGTCTGTTGGAAACTAGGCAAGTTTGCCTTCATAGGTGGGGAATGCACCCTGTCTGTTCTTTAAACTCCTTCCTCTCCCTACTTCCAACCCCTTTCCTTCTCATTCCCTTTCCACCTTCCCACTTGTCTGTCTGCACTACCAGATATTAATGAATGCCTGGAGGGAGACTTTTGCTTCCCGCGGGGAGAATGCCTCAACACGGAGGGCTCTTACACCTGCCTATGTTCCCAGGGATTCACTATCTCTTCCAATGGGGCTTCCTGTGTGGGTAAGCACCTCATGGGGCAAGGGGAAGGGTGTGAGCGTTGGGTGGTAGGTGGTTCTGGATTATTTGGATGGGGCCCGTGTTCTCAAGTGCAGGGCTATTTGGGATTCAGCCTTCTGTCATGCTGTGTTCCTATGCTCTCTTTCTCTCCTTTCCCCCTCCCAAACAGACATCGATGAATGCCAGAGTGGCACCGCATGTACTGGTGGGCACTGTGCCAACACTGAGGGCTCTTTCGATTGCTACTGCCCCCCTGGCACCCGCAGCAGCTCCAACAAGGCTTCTTGTGAAGGTGAGGAGCAGATGCACTCCAGAATCTTGAAAAGGCAACTTTCTGTTGGCAAGTGGGCTTATTAACAAAAGACCCTCTTCCTAAATGCACAACAGAGTAAATTATTAGCAGAAGCGTAACCCAGTCAAAAGTTATAAAAAGAACAAAAACACAGGCCAATGTTATCTCTTCCATAGGAAGTTTTTCTTTGTAGTAAAATAATATGGTTGCACTATTTACAAGAACAAAGTTTCCATAACACAAATAAAGTTCTTTACACTTCCTTCTTTGCTTCCACACTGGGCTTCTTCCATATGCAGATAAACAGCTTTACTCTCACAGAGACTCTTCTCACACTGAACTTACACAGGAGCTTCACATAGTAGCTTTACACACAGCAGCCTTCACACATTGGGGCCTTCTCACATGAGGCCTTTAACCTGGGGCGTCTCTCACTGAAGTTTCTCACACCAGGCCTTCCTCATACTGAGACCTACTAACACTGTGGCCTACCTCACATAGAGGCCTTTCTCCCACTGAGGCCTTCTCACACGGAAGGCTCTCTCAGACTAAAGCCTTTCTCCCATTGAGGATTTCTCTCACTGAGGGCTCTCTCAGACTGAGGCCTACCTCACACAGAGGCCTTTCTCCCACTGAGGCCTTCTCACACTGAGGGCTCTCTCAGACTGAGGCCTTTTTCCCATTGAGGCCTTCTCACACTGAGGGCTCTCTCAGACTGAGGCCTTTCTCACAATGAGGTGAACTAACACTGGGAGCTTCTCATAGGCCTACTAACACATCTCTGTCTACACTAAGCAACAACAGTTACTTTTCATGAACTCAAGCAGGCAGGTTAAGTTTTTGTTTCCTATCCTTTCTTGTCCTTTCTTGTCCTGTCAGAAGTGCTTTGATTGTTGGACTAGAT